CACTTTTATGATTTTCGAAGTGTAAATGCAATTACCAGAAGGCTGCACTATGGTCCAGTGACTTCAATGTTGCTACCACAGACTGTAAAGCCATGTTTGTCCTGTAGTCTCAGTGGGGTATTTACTAATCCATTTTATGTCGTAGAACAAAATGTGAAAGTCTCTTAAGCTTGTGTTAACCACAGACCTTATTTCAGGCATCAAACCAAAAACCCATTCAAAACACCCACTGACTTTGAGATGAGGGAACCAGAAGTTAAAAAATATTTTCTGCATTTCAGGACTCATTCCTGCACCGCTCTATATGAACATTATTTCAAATGGTCTGCATATGTCCTGTCACATTGTGCTTATGATGTTGATGGGCATACTGGCTGCTGTAGAGATTGTACCCGTTGAGTTCTCTAAACACTAGACATTACTCAGTTTTTACACATTCATGCCCAGAAGCAGTACAACCTCAATCTTCTGCTGTCAGACACGGAGCAGCCCTCTGGAGTTATTGGTATTCAGGGCTGCTGTTAGCTTCAAACAAAGTGCTGTTTGACACAATAGATGCAGTCAGATTCAGTCTGAACAGTTTTGTATTGTTGGTAAACCAACAATCTGACAGTGACTCCCACTTTCTGTGAGTCTGCTGCTATGAAATTTTGCCGATTTGCACCAACATGATTAGCATGACTGTCATCCGCCTTTGGATCATATGAAATTATTCAAAATTCTTTCACTGTATCTCACCCCTGATTTGTTTCACCACCTTAATGTCATGCTGTTCAAACTCGGCTACTCACCTCTCATAAATAATGAATGAGGACTAACTGTTTGTCTTGTGAAATCGTCTGCAAGTAATGTAAGCGCCTTGCTCAAGGGTGTAGTTGATGAGGGAGGGAAAAATCTGCTCCACAAGTACACTTCTCTCACTTTTAAACCAGCTGTTCTCAGTAAATGTTTGTTAATGCCTCCTTTAATATGTTCTCCATCCCTGTTTTATCAATGAATTAACCAGTCTGCACAGATATTGTGGTCTGGAAAAAAAAAAAACATATGTAGCAGCAAGAACTCATCCTACCTATGAATACAAATGAACTCCACTCACCACACTCTATGCAAGTGAGTGCTGTATAACTTGCAAGCTAAAACAAAAAAGCACAGTTTTCCCAGGGGCTCATTACAGAACCAGCGAGGCAGGGCTTAATGTTGTTTTGACTGAATTGTAGTTATCAGTAGGCCACCGTGATGAAGCTCAATTAGAGCAGCATGCTATAAGCTAAGCAGAGGTAATCACTGGGCGGAGGGCAGACTTATGTGGAAGCATGGATATTCACTCTGAACAGAACAGGCGAGGGATTCACAATAGGACCTGGAGCCGTGGAGAGCGGCTAATGAGCCTACATGATTCACTCTTGGTCTCCCCCACCGAGACCCTTGTGCTGGGCAGAGCGGAGGCGCGCATGATGTGTGTGCTCAAACGCATTCCATGACGCAGGCGCAGCCTGTCAGAGCCAAGAGGTGATTAAAAGTTTCTCTCGCAAATGCTGGATGAATGAAGGTCTTCTGTGTCTTATTAGAGTCTTGAATCAATCAAGAGGCTGTGTTTATTTCAGTAAACAATGTGTCCAGTACGGCTGTGTCTTCCACCATTCAACCTGCAGTTCTAGAAAGCTCTTGAGAAAAAATGCTTTAAGTCTTACGGGCATAGATGGATTACTGAACTGGCCTACCAGGCACATGCCCAGGGGCCCTAAGTGTCAGGGCCCCCCTTGGCCTTCACTTGCAAAATGTCACTCAAATCAACATGTACCGACCAGAAAGAGACACACAAGGGCCACAAAGATAGATTGTGTCAACTGCAAAAGAGACACAAAATAACCACAACAGGGGCAAAAATGACCAAAAAAAACCACACACACAAAATGACCTCAAGGAGAAACCAAAAACACTGCTCAAAAAAATGAAGGGAACGCTTAATCATCACAGTAGAACACCAAGTCAGTTAAACTTAAAGGATATCAGTCTGTCCATTTAGGAAGCACAAGTGATTATGAATCAGTTCCACCTGCTTTGGTGCAAATGAAAGTGACAACAGGTGCAATGGAGAGGCAAAAGCAAGACAACCCCCAAAAAGGGAATGGTTTTACATGTGGTGTCCACAGACAGTTGCTCTCTCCTTATCCTTCCTGACTGATTCTTCTCTAGTTGTGTTCTGCTAGTGTCCTTGTCACTACTGGTAGCATGAGGGGGTACCTGCAACCCTGTCAGGTTGCACAGGTAGTCCAGCTCCTCCAGGATGACACATTCTTAAGTGTGGTCGCAAGAAGTTTTACTGTGTCTCCCAGCACAGTCTCAAGAGCATGGTGAAGATCGTTACACAAGAAGAACTGGATAGGGCTGTAGAAGGGCATCAACCCAACAGCAGGACCAGTACCTGCTCCTTTGTGCAAGGAAGAATAGGAGGAGCACTGCCAGAGTCTGACAAAATGACGAAACTGTCAGGAACAGACTCCGTGAGGGTGGTATGAGGGCCTGATGTCCTCTAGTGGGACCTGTGCTCACAGCCCAGCACTGTGCAGCTCCACTGGCATTCACAAGGGAACACCAGAATTGGCAGGTCAGCCAGTGGCGCCCCGTTCTCTTCACAAATGAGAGCAGGTTCACACTGAGCACATGTGACAGCCGTGAAAGAGTCTGGAGACGCCGTGGTGAACATTATGCTGCCTGTTACATCATCCAGCATGATCAGTTTGGCAGTGGGTCAGTGATAATGTGGGGAGGTGTATCCTCCATGTCATAGCCATGACTGCTGTCAGGTACCAGGATGAAATCTTCTGAGCGAATGTCAGACCTTACGCTCGTGCAGTGGGCCCTGGGTTCCTCCTGGTGCAGGACAATGCCCAGCCTCATGTGGCCAGAGAGTGTAGGTAGTTCCTAAATGACAAAGGCATTGATACCATTGACTGGCCCTCTTGTTCCCCTGACCTAAATCCAATTGAGCACCGATGGGATGTTGTGTTTCCGTGCATGTGCGCCACCAAGTATGACCACAGACTGTCCAGGAGCTCACTGATGCCCTCATCCAGGTGTGGGAGGAGATCCCCCAGGACACCATCTGCCAACTCATCAAGAACATGCCCAGACGTTGTGGGGAATGCATACAGGCAGTTGCGGGCCATACATGCTACTGAGTCACATTATGAGTTGCCGTGATAAAATTCACGCACGTTTGATCAGTCTGTAATTTCTTACTCTGATTTTCGGTGTGATTTTGAATCCAGTCCTCAGTGGGTTGATGATTTTGGTTTCAACTGACTGTTGTTAGGCCTACATCATTTTGTTCTCAACAAATTATACAATGTACATCAGTAACAATTTTCAACTTGAATAATTCGTCAAGATCTGACGTGTGATTTAACTTTTTTGAGCAGTGTAACTACAGAAAGGGGCAAAACTACCAAAAAATACACAAATTGTCTAAAAAAAACCCCACAAAATAACCTTGAAGAAACACAATATGACACAAAAGAGGAGACACAAAGTAACTAATAACAGGGCAGAACACCCAAAAAGAGACACAAAATGACTACACCAAGACAGAGGCAAAGTCACCAAAGTCTGTGTCTTTCCAACCCTATGCAGGAGAGGTGGTGGACCTTTTACATGTCTGTGCCCTGGGGTCCATTATCTCATAATACACCCATTCTTATGGGTATGTTTCTGAATATGACTATTCACAATGACAGAAAAAAAGATATTCTGTCCAAATATACCTCATCCTTCTTGCAAATAATACAAACACTTACACTTTTCCAACACCTATATACAGGAAGAATGAAAATTGTCTGTGCACATACTGTATGTGAAAAGCTTTCTTTTATGGAGTTAAAATGTGGGAGGCATTGCCTTAATGATCCACAGCATGACTTCACAATTAAAGGATTGTGTGTTTAAATCACAGCCTTGGTGTTTTGTGTGCAATTTGCATGTTCACAGGGTTTCCTCCAGGTACTCTAGCTTCACTCCCACAGTCCAAAAACATGAAAAACTCTAAATTGCCCATATGTGTGAAATTGAGTGTAAATGTGTCTATTTGGCCGTGGTTAAACTCTGTTATAGACTGGAGACTATTTTGGGCATGAAACACTTACTTTTCTGCATTCCGGTGAATTTATATGCATCAATATTTGCCTTCTGCATTAATTTGTAGTGGTAATGTCTTTAATTTTGTCAACATAAAAGTCCCCCGCTACTTTCATGTTTTTACTGGGGGGGACAAATGCACATGTTTGAAATACCAAGGGGGACATGTCCCCTGCATCCCAAATGCAAATGCACATAATTTAAATATTTATGTACTCAATGCTTATGTACTTAACAAGCAAAGTATGATCCATCTTGTGATGCTGGTACAACTCCCTACACAACAAGAGAGGATCATTCATGGATAAGCCTGTTATTACTAATAATAGTACTATTATTAATTATAAATTAACTTGAAAACTGATGCAGCATATCTCTAACAGACCAGAAACACAACAGGATTTATGACTGTGTGTGTGACTCTTTATGTGTAAAGAGCTTGTGCTGGCTGCCTTTTTTAACAGGATTTTATTTTTGATATGATGACCCATTAGTACTTTTAACAAACTAGTCGTAATGTTTCTTTTCTTTTCTTTTAGTTTTCTGTATTGCCTTCATATAATTGCTTTTGCTATTTGTGTATTGTTTCCATGGGCTCTTTTTCTTCTTCTGTCTTGTAAATCATTGTTAATGTGTTTTAAAACTTCTATGTATATTTGTTTTGTTACAGGCTCTAATAAACGCTATCAGTATTCCAGAGCTGTAATCTTTATGTATGTGCGTGGGTTGAGGTGAGGTCTGTCAAATTTCTCTAGTAGTTATTAAAATAGCTACTAAACATCCATCCAGACTTTTAAACCGAGTCACGCTCTGATTGGCTGGGAGGCGGTCACGTGACGTAGCGCAGTCAGTCGCTGTGCCGTGCCTCGAGCCAGCGCTGAGTGGAGCCTGTCTGCCAACAGCTTCAGCAGTGGCTCTATCTGGAAACCACTACACTCACTGACAATTAAAGGAGGCCCCTTTTTCTTCTTATTTCCGAGGACTATTCTTCACCATGGGCGACAAGAAGAGCCCTACCAGGTAAGGCAACCATCCACTGCCAATTTCTGCTTGTTTTGTGCGTTTCGGGCTCGATATTAAGATGCGTTTCCCTCACACAGGGATCGTTTCTCCCTTTTTCAGTTGGTATACCACAGCTAGCTAGAATAGTGCAGTCACTATGGCGGCTTCTCGCTCCCTACAACCCAGTCACTTAACAGACAAAGGGAAAATTTTCAGAGGATACGCCTGGCATTCTCTGAAACGCTCTTCCGTCTCGATGAAGCCTTTCGGAGGGTCAATGTCGAAATTGACATTGTTTGATATTGGTTTTGTTAGCCGACATGCTAAGCTTCGATGCCGAAAATTTTAGCAATGCTTGCCTGCCTGCTAGCCTAACGTTAGCTGGCGATACAATCGGACGGTGTGGAGCTTCGCCGCTGTGGGGATTTATTAACCAAGGAGCTGTACTTGTCGGGACTCGAACCCAAAATTAATGACAACACCATTATTTGTGCCGCACTTAGAAGCTCGTGTGTTACACAGCGTGTGGTGTTTGTCACAATCTCCTTTCTTGTCAATTCATGAAATTCTCTTGGTGGTATTTCAAAAAACTAACTTGACCTTAACATTTGTCAGGCCAAAAAGACAAGCCAAACAGACCGCCGATGACGGCTACTGGGACTGTAGCGTCTGCACCTTCAGGAACACCGCCGAGGCTTTCAAATGCAGCATCTGCGATGTGAGGAAGGGCACATCCACAAGGTAACGTAGCGCTCCCTCCCTCTCTCTGCCTCTCTCTCCCTCTCTCTCGTCTGAGCGTCTCGTTTTTCCCCTGCTTGGCTGGCTGCAGCAGCATTGCATCGCAATTTATGGGAATGACAACTTTGATCGACAGCCTATTTGTCTGTGAGCGAATGCGGACTTGTTGATGGACAATCATGCAAACATCTCCTGCCGTTGTCTGGATTATCCGTAGTTTCCCATTTTATGCGACTAACATTGCATTGCTTTTATGCATTTGTCTAGGTAGGCTGGCTGCTTCACTAGCCAGGGGGGGGATGGGGTGGGGAAGAGGGACCATACTTCATGATGGCTGTACAGCTACAGTGCATCAACAGAGCAACAGCGAAAGGGCTGCTTTTTTTCCATGGAGTGAAACAAGGTGAATGTATGTGCGTGCATTTCACCTACCTGTAGGATTGCAGAGGTTGCTTTAATGGTCTGACAAGTTAAATGTGTTGTGCATCATGGGGTGGATGAATAGAAAGGAGATGATTTTGTTTCTTAGATTAAGAAATGAGTTTTCAATCAGAACTGTTTCTTTGTCCGTCAGACTTTTTCCCTCTGTGCATTGTAGTTTAAGCCAATGCCATTTCATGCCCAACCAGGCATGACACTGAGTGTTCACATGAGGTTCAACAGTTTTTTTCCTCTCTTTTTATTTATTTATTATTTATTTCAGTTATACACAAATCATTTTTTTAGTTTTTTTAAGATGTAAGTCCATACAGTTTGTGATCAATCATGTTCAAAATCCAATCTGCCACAAGCCTGCTTTGTTCCAGAAGCTGTTTACAAGTGAATTCACTCATGTTTGCACACAGACAATGTCTCCAGATTAATCATATCAACATTTATAGCAACAGACTTGTATGTCCCAGACATTTCCCCTGAGCTTCCCATAGAATACATTTTGTGACGTTAGCAGACGACGGCATCTTATGGGAAACTGAGATGAAATCACTGTATAACTTAAATGTCATGATGGGATTCCCTTTCGGTTTTGTGTAGAATGACGCCTCCACCTCCAGTTCTGGGGAATGTTTGTGATGAGAAGTTGCGTGTGCCACTGTATGAGTTTGTTTACTCGTGTCATCAGTTGCATGATGAGCTGGAGAGATAGATGAGTCATTTGTGGGTTTGTTGACAAGTCCCCTGCACTCTAACCTTTCCAGCTGTGGTTTTACAATGAGTGGCTCCACTGACACCCCTGACGCACCACAAATGGGGAGAACACACTGACGCTGGTTTACTGAAAATCCAAAAGCGCTCAATCTTAATTGTCTGGCTCCCCTCCCCCTATGATCTTTTCCTAGCTGCGCGTGTAGCTTACCACAGCTGAAGATGCAGGCTGAGCCTGCTGCGCGAAAGCAGGAAGCGGAGACAAGCATGTTGTAGCCATCCTGCCACTGTGCTTTGGCAACAGCCCAGTTGCCTCTATTTGGTAAATGGGAGCACATGACATCACAGTAGTGGTTGTCACACATTCCTGTTTGATGTGAATAGTTAACCTTTGATTAATGCAATTGTGTAGTTGTGGGGCTGCCGCTTATTCTAACGAGTACTAATTAGCTGTCTTTTCTTCACTGTTTGATGTATTCCAGCAAAGCATGGGACGAAGCAACATGCTCTTAGCTAAATGATTCACACTTAAGGCTATTTGTGAATGTTTGTCTTGCTGCTTTTATCTGAGGCTCTACTTTGAATGTGCTTTTATGCATGAGAACAAGTGTGTTCACTAATTAGAGTTCCCCACTGCTGGTAAGAGTCAAAACACTTCTTTTCTCAAAGTTCGGTTTGGATCATCAGTTTGTGTTTACAAGATGGATGAACTTGGATAGTTATTTACATGATTGTATTTAAAGGTGCATTGAGTATTGGTGGATTGGAGTATTTTACTAAGAAACAATGTATAAAGTAGATTTATACAAAAGTAATCCCTCTCAATCATCATGTATGACCCACTGGAAGTGCATGGGGGTTTATTTATCTGTGGAGACCCTACCTTCTGCCTGTATTTTCTCATTTTCTACTTATTTGGCTGTGGTCAGGACAGTCTTGGCAACAGCGCACAGGTGAGGTTGGGACTTAATGAAAAGGTAGTGACCAGGTCCCAGACCATAAGTAGCACACATTCATAAGGAAGCTGCAAAAATAGGGGACACAGCACCAGAAATCCTGCAAATGGAGAGAGGCAAAACGCCAAGTGGACAAAGTCAGGCTTGGCTTTCACTTTCGCTAGTCATACTGTGTTTACAAACAGTAGCTCACAATTCCTTCCTCATATACCTTTTAAGCTTTGTTTGAAATGGCTTGTTTTCAGTGGTGTGAATGTCTGTAAGCTACTTTCCACACACTCCTTCCACAATCCACAAGTATAGCTTCCTTTTCTTGTGTCCTGGGACAAAGGTCAGCCTGTGTTGACTTATTTGAACATAGTAAGGAGAGAATGGATGCAGCTGAAGTATCACACACCCATTACTGAAAGTTTGTTGGTACAACAGGTAGCAGTCAGCAGGCATTAGTATTGCGACGGTTGGTAGCTGCAGAGGTTGAGTCATACAGGGTTATCCTGCCTGTCCTACGAGAAATTCATGATCAGATAAATATTTCCATCCTCCACAGCTTGATACATCCATCCCTCACAGTGTGCATGGAGTCAATGAGACACCAGCTGTTTCTACAGGTGTTGATGGAGAATACACAATTAATATGATCTATGGTGATTCGCAAATAGAGGCTTTCACTCCAGCAAGGCTTGAACTGCACTTTGTCCCCTGCCAGCGGTAGGTAAGCCAGGTAACTGTGGGTCATGCAGCTCTGATTTGTGCAAATGGAAGCAAGAATGTGTGTTAACGAGAGCAAAACTCTGACTGTGGCATCAGCATGCAGGGAGAGGCCCCATTCTCCCCAGCCCAGCGCAGCCTAACGAACCTGTTGACCCAGTCCAACTCAGTGATGTAACATGATACTCAAGTAGGCTAAATCTAGCCTCCGCCACTCTGACTCTTAAACAAGAAAGCACTCGGCTTTTTGCACCTGACCTCGCTGCTAATCTACAAGTCCAAGTAGCCCAAGTGTTCAGCCTTTTCATTCAGTGCCTGCTTCCTTGGTTATTGGAGATAGGTTTGCATTAGCATCCCCTGCGAGGTGCATGCTATCATATTTAAATGTTTCTGGCATCTGAACCCAATCGCTGCATGAACGTGACACCTTGTTGCTGTACATCAGTTTGCTTTGTGGTGGTGTTTGGTATGCACCTCTGTCAGCCCCGGGGCCTAGGGAGAAACCATTAGGAGCCCTCTAAAGTTGATTGATGGCGGGGATCACAGGAAGTCTTGAGGTACCTCAGTCTTTGACTGCTGTGCTGTTATCTATGCGCTGTTGCTCTGTTGTCAACCATTTCAAGTAGCTTCCATCTGTGCTTTATATAAAGCAGAACAAATGGGTGCTTCTCGCTGGTTAGCAAAATGCAGCGCTCTGACTGAATTAAATAAACCAACTTAAATGGACCCCAATTTATCTGAAGCTCAGACTGCCGAGAGGACACAGAACCTGAACCAATGCAACCAATTTACTACGTAAACAGCAGTGTGAGATATGGGGGTTTACCAATGTAGATGTCAGCTATATAGCCAGTAGTAAATGGTCATAAAAAAGTTAATATAAATGTTTATACAACACATAATTTGAACAGAAATCAAAGCAACTTGATACTTGTTAATACAATGGGGTAATTTTATTTTTAACATACAGATATAGAGCTTCAAATAGAAAAGATATAGAGGAAGAATCCATTTTTTTGTCAGGTGAACTCAAAAGCTGGAGTCCAGATTGCTCAGTCAAACAGAGCCCGACCTGTCAGATATTTGGACTGGATCTGTGAAATTAAGCTTATTTGAGCTAAATCAAATGACACAACAATTTTTTTGCACATAATTTGTATTGACACTCTGTTAATGACACTAGACTGTCTCTGTAGGATTACAGCTTTCATTGTTCTCAGTTAATAGGTGAGGCCATCCTGCTGTTACATGTTAACAAGACAGTTTTTTTAGTCACCTGTAACATGTATAAACTGACATGTGAATAATGTCATGTACAAATATTGTGACAAGTCTGAAGGATTTTAAGGTGAAGATGTTTTTCTGATCACCCTGGCATACTTAAATGAATCAACCATAGGCAGTCACTGTAATTGTCCATGACTCTGTAGATATTTACAGATGTTAACATACTTAAGTATATGTGTTTTGCATTTAAGCTGTGGCTTTATAATATGACCATATGGGAAACCCGTTAATCCACAGATTATGAATGTCAGAAACGGGATTGCTGAACACAATCAGAATGGACCAAATCTAAAGGATACCTACCCCTAAAGCCACAAGTTAGTAATGGGGCTAAACAAGTAAAAGTGCACCTCTTTCTTGGTGTAAGTGTTGAGGCTGCACAATTATTGGAAAATGATTGCAGTGTGCATGTGTGTTTGTGTGTCACGGCGTGTGTGTGTGACTTTCTGTCTTACAATGATGGAATAGAGTCATTATAATCCGTGGATTCTACCACTGTCACATTAAGGCAAATTGTCTAGGATAATGGAATTACATAAGAGGGACATGCTGGCGCTCAATTTATATCTGCACTTCCTCGCCCACCCCCTGCCCCCACAGCAGCCCCCGCTCAGAGGAAACTGCTTTTGCTTATCCAGCATTATCAGCATCTGCACTAAAACCCTAAGCACGAGCGGGTAGCCCTAATCTTTACATGTTAATTGCCGGATTTAAAAGTTCTTAATTACTTCATGGGATTTGGCAGAGTGTGAGTGATTAAATACAGTAGCCAATTTGGCAATCTGACAAAACAGAAATGTTGAAAGAGAGCTGTTGAATCGGGGCTCCTCCCCTCACAAAAAAGATGAGGCAAATGAGTGCGACAGTGAGGGAGTGCGGAGTCTCAGGAAAATAGGGAAAGAGAGCATA